CTCATTGTTTTCTTGGCCAACGGAAGTTGCCGCCATTGTCCGCCAGGGGGCGCTGTATTAGCCACGTTAGCCGAACTCCATTGTGCTGCATAAATCAAGTTTGCAGCACTTTCAACACTTTTGTGGCCCTCACTGGCCGGTCGGTCGGCTCACTTTTATTGCCCACCTATTTTTGCTGTTGTTGTTCTTGGTTCCCGATCGTGGCAATAAAATTGCATTTAATTACACGAAAGCACTGGCTTAAGTGGGCGAAAAGCGGGGGGGTGGTTAGGGGTTTGCCGGATGGGGTTGGCCATTGGGAAATTGCCCTTGGTTTGGAGCCCGGCCAGCTCTTCATTGTTGCGCGCATTTTTGAGCTCATTAAACCGACTGCAATTGTTGCCATGCGTTGCGTGAGTGCTGCTCCTGCTGCTGCTGCTGCTGCCAGTTTGTGCCCTTTTGTTGGCCGGCAATCAATTTGCAGTCAGCAGTCTGCAGACTGCAGTTGGGCCCCCTTGCAAAAGTTGCAGAAATGCAAAAATGAAATTATATTTGTGGGGCCCTGGCACATCATTAAAATGCATCGACCTGGCAAACAAACAAGCCGAACACCTCTTGGCATAAAGCTTCTCCTTCGTTTTCAGAAATCTCTCAGAGCATTTTCCAAGGGGAAAATGGACCAAGCCGGAGTCTATAATGTTTATAATCAGAGGCTAGGGCGCATGCATGAGTTTTCCTTCATTCTGGCAAAACAAACTCTGAACAAAGAAATATGCAATTCTGGGAGAGGTGAGTGAATGCAAAACAAAAGACTGGCCAATGGGTTATCGGAAAGTATATATTCCACAGGAAACTAGAGAACATTTTTATTTCCTTAGCTGGAAGTGGGAAACTCTTATTTGCATTTCATTTCAGGAATAAAGAAAAATGTTATTTGCTGACTTAAGGAAAAATTGATAGATCCTAGGATAAATCTTTTCAGACTAGATTCTTTGATTAAAAGTTTTACAAAAACTGATTTCGCATTAAAATAAATTCAAGTTTAACTCTTCCCCTTGTAAACTCCACCATTTCAGGCTTTTAGAACCCTAAAACTCTACCTTCCCAGAGAATTTTAAGTAGCCCTTCCCATCCCTTTTTGTCAACTTTAGACCATGTTTTGTTTGTCTGATTGACTTTCGCATGCAATTTCCATGTTTTTCCTTAACGCTTCAATGATGGCCAACAATGGCGGTAGAAGTGTGGCCCCGGAGAACGTTTTGCCAAGATGGCGTGTGGCAGAGCCATAAAACAGCTAAAACTGCCCTGCCTATGGAGAGCTTACAAATATACAAAAAAAAAACAAAAAACAGCTCAGTCACACACTCGCAGCTTAGGGAATGCGCTAAATGAATGCAATAAACCAACTAGAAGGGTCCCCCAGTCATTGTTTATGGCCACGCTTCGTTGCTTTCTAGGGGAAGCTTCGTTGCTCTCTCTTTCGAGTTAGCTGTCTTGGTCTCTTTCCAACTTAATGGTCTCCCCGATCGCTGGCTGGCTGACTGGCAAATGGCAACAATCAGCGGCGTCTGAGAATTGCAACTGCAACACAAACGGCAACTTCAGCTGGGACTTCAAGTTGTCCGATTTTGTTGGTTTCGTGGAGCGGGAGCAATCAACGCATTGTCGACAGGTGGAAAACTTCATGGCCAATGAATTGCAGTTACCAGGTTTTAACCCTTTTATATACTCTTTTGTACAAGGGGTATTTAAAGTTGCCATTTTTAAGGCAATAAAGTATATAGCTTTTTGAAAATAACCTGTTTTGGTGTCGTAAGAACTTTTGATAGAAGATATTTAGTCAACTTAAACTTAACTTAAAGCAATAACTTATTTTAACATATATATTAGTAAGAAATAATGTATGTGAGCCTTTTCTTATCAATCTAGTTCATAGTATTTAAGCTAACCGGGATAAGTTAGTTTTGTTTTAGCTTTTATGGTATAACTAGCTTGGAAAGATTATACTTTATCAACCTTAAATCTAAGCCTACCTGACATATAAAATATACTTAAAAACTGTTAATCCCATATTTTCTTAACATTAAAACCTATTTTCAGCTTCAAGCAAGAGTATCCAAAACTCTTTTGCCCAAAACAAGGTTAATTTCTGGTTTTTGTTCCGTTGCCGTTGTATTTTGCATGGCCTGAAGCTGATTTTGTTGCTGCCGCAGACTGACAGCAACAGTTTCATTTCGTCTCACTCTTTTTTCTCTCTGTGTGTTGACGTGGCCAGTAATTTGTGTTGTTGCTGTTTGTTGGTTGGTTGTTGGCTAAAAGGGAATCGCCAGCAGCAGCAACAACAACAACAATGGCCACAAACACACATGCAATTTTGTGCATTAAAATTTCACACTGCATTCGCTTGTTTGTTTGTTTGGCGAGTTGGTTGAATGCTTTTTCGGCTTTTTGGTCCCTCACCTTTTATTTATGTTTGTTTTTTTTTTGTTTTATGGCGGGAAGAGGTTCTTGCTGCATTTACTGTTTAATTTGGCATGCATTTTGCTGCCGCCTTCCAACTTTTCCTGCAGTTTCTGCTGATGTCGCCTGCCAGAAGCAGCTGACAGCAAAATGGCGATAGTGACCTCCTCCTCATCCGAGCCCTTTACCTTACTCATTGCACCTGGCTGATGCCAAGGGGGATATCATCGCCATCGCCATCGTCATCGTGGCCTGTCAACAGCCACGTTTTTTGGTCTTTACTGGGCGTGGTCTTAAAAACGGGTTAAAGAGGCAAAAGGGTTCTTTGCTGCCAATTTAATTAAGGCAACTCAAGGGTAAAGTGCTAAAAATCAAAAACTTATTTTTTACAGAAATTTGCAACATTTTTTGCGGATTTTCAGCTCTATCTTGGTCAAAACAAGACGCACAGCCAAAAGAACGACTGTTTTGTGCTGCTAATGACCAACACTTACCACCCCTATCCCACGTTTTTCGATTTTGAGAAAATAAATTTTTGCCCAAATTTCGCATTTTCGATAAGGGGTACCATCGTCTTTTTTTCAAAAAATTGCCAAAAATTAAATTTTCCATATTTGGCTGCAAACCTATTAAAAGTTAAAATAGATTAAATTTCGAGCTCAATGAGGTATAACATTTCATATTTGGACCATTTTTAGGCTTGCTAGGAGGTAAATACTTTTTTTAAACTAGAAAAATCAGAATACATTTTTTTACAATATTCGATATATTTTGTTTCGGTTTCTAGCTAATAACATGGTCAAAACAAGGCTTACAGCCAAAATAAAGACAGTTTTGGGCAGCTAACGACCCCAACTAACGACCTGTTTGACTGTCAGTCTGAAATTGGAAAAACAATTTTTGACCAATTTTTGCATTTTTTATAAGGGGTACCATCATCAAAATTGGCAAAAAATTGAAAAAATTGAAATGTCCCAGATTTGAATGCAAATCAATTGGGAATCAAAGCAATCACATTACGAGCCCTACGAGATATGAAATTCCATATTCGGACCATTTTTGGCTGTGCTATGGCAAAAAAACGGATTTTTTTGCTCCAAAAATCATATATACGTCTTTTGAGAGCAGAGAGTCGGGCTTTGTTGGAGTTTCTTATCTCTAACTCTGTCACAACAAGACGCATCGCTAAAACAGTGACTGTTTTATGCAGCTAACAACCAAAACTTTAAGCCCCTATACTTACTTTTATCATTATTGTACTGATATTTTCGTACGAGCTGCGATTTAATAGCTGAAAAATCACGAAACCTATTTTTAACAGAAATTTGCAATATTACTTGCAGCCTTTTAGCTCTAGGTCGGTCAAAACAAGACTCACAGCCAAAACAACAACTGTCTTGTGCTGCTGACGACCAACACTTAACGCCCCTATCCCACGTTTTTCGATTTTAAGAAAATAAATTTTTGCCCAAATTTCGCATTTTTGATAAGGGGTACCATCATCAAAATTGGCGAAAAACGGGAAAATCTGTCCCAGATTTTAATGCAAATCAATTGGGAATCATAGCAATCAAATTCCGAGCCCTATGACGTATTACAGTCCACATTTGGACTATTTTTGGCTGTGCTATGGCAAAGAAACTGATTTTTTTGTTGGCTTAAAATCATGTATACGTCCTTCTTTGACAGCAGAGATTCCGGTTGGGTTGCCGTTTCATAGCTTTAACATGACACGCACAGCTAAATCAATGACTGTTTTATGCAGCTTACAACCAAACCGTTAAGCCTATATACCTACTTTTTACAGTATTGTTCTGATTTTGTTGGGACGAGTGCTGATTTAATGGTTCAAAAGTCAAAAAACCTATTCTTGACAGAAATTTGCAATATTACTTGCAGCCTTTTAGCTCTAGGTCGGTCAAAACAAGACTCACAGCTAAAAGGACGACGGTTTTGTTCTGCTAAAGACCAACACTTACCACCCCTATCCCAGGTTTTTCGATTTTGAAAAAATACATTTTGGTCAAAATTTCGCATTTTCGATAAGGGGTACCATCATCAAAATTTGCGAAAAATGGGAAAAAATTAAGTTTCCCAGATTTTATTGCAAAACAATTGGGAATCATAGCAATTGAATTACGAACCCTACGAGGTATTACATTCCATATTTGGACAATTTTTTACTGTGTTGTGATCAAAATAATGATATTTCGGACGCAAAACGTCCTTTGACAGCAGAGAGCCACGATTTTTTGCAGTTTTTCAGCTGTAACTTTGTCATTATATATAATATATAATCTATATTGAATATTAAATTATAGAAATATTTTTTAATTTTAATATTTAGTTACTTTTGAAATGCTTTTTAGCTTACGCCTTTTGGTTCGGTAACATATTTTCAATCCAGCGAGGCACTTTATAGAATTTTTCTTTCTCTTTCCGAGAATCTTTGAGCTCGCTTTCCATAAGCTGCACTCTGTTGATAAGACTCTCTTTGATAAGTATTAAAATAGCCGTTCGATTAGTCGAGGCTTCAGTTTATTGCATTTAATTCACTCGCGATGAGATCAGCTGCTGGTTTCATTGTGATTACATTTTGCCTGACTTGTCATTTGGCAACGGCCAGACTTTTAGAACCAAACTGCGGAATTCGCATTGAAGGTGCCAGTTTTCGAAACAGAATCATTGGAGGCAGTGATGTCAAGATTACTGCCCATCCATGGATGGCCTACCTGCACAATGATGGGCATTACAGGTGTGCCGGAACCCTAATCAATCATCGTTAGTATCGTTTTGGTGAAATTTTAAGTTTAAAAGTAAATTCTTTCTTTTTTCTTAGAGTTTGTCTTGACAGCTGCACATTGCATAGATCCGGATATTAAATTGTGAGTAACTCAGAATAAAAAAGATAAGTTTAAGCTTTAAAAGAGAATGTCCTACAGGACGGTTCGTCTAGGCGGAAATAATCTTAGGCCCAGTGGCTTCATGATGTGCCAACCCGCAGCCGAGGACTACGAAATTGCACGTGCAATTAGACATAAATACTATACACCCAGCATTGCTCTGAACGACATCGCCATGTTGAGATTGGCTAGATCAGTGGAGTACTCTGGTGGGTTTAAGTCAGATCAACATCTCAAATAAAGTAATAACTTTATTATTTAACTTTTTTTAAGTTTTCATCAGACCAATTTGCATTATCCTGGATTCGGTAATGGAACGTTTGCTAGAGGAAGGCATGTCACTTACGGCTACTGGATGGGGACGAACTGAAGAAGAATCGTTGGCCACCGATCTTCAGGTGGTCCCCATCGAGCTAATGCACCCGAACATCTGCAGTGGTCTGTATGATGTTCCGCTGGGTCCGAGCCAACTTTGTGCGGGAGACAATCAGACCAACACATGCTCTGGCGACTCCGGCGGACCACTAGGTGGTATGATGAATTACAATGGGAATATGCGGTTCTTCCAGTACGCCATAACAAGCTTTGGAGACCTTGAATGCCGGGCCCCAAGTGTCTACACGGATTTAAGCACCTATTTCGAATGGATCGAAAAGGTGGTCAACTTATTTGGGACTCAATGATCAGGTCATCAGCTACATTGGAAAGCTTAATTTGTAAAAATTAATTACTTTTTGTTGACTGTAAAATGTTCCAAATATAAGCCTGGTCTCTCGTTAAGAGAATTTCTCGGAATTTGACAATATATTCATTTTTGCATGAAACCATTTCTGATAAGTCTGATTGATTCATTATATTAATTAATTCCTGATAAGCAAGAAAAGGAATTTCGCAGAATTTATAAGGGTTCCTCATAATCGAGGGCCTGATAAGCTCGTTTGCTGTAGACTATTAATCCCAAAGAACACCAAAGATCGAACATCAGTCGCAAAATGCATTCCCTTGTGATCGGATTTACTTGCATTCTTCTACCAATTCTGGGTGGAACTGCTCAGTTTATTGACATGGCCTGTGGCATTCGTGCGCCAAGCATCGTTGCCACAAGGATTATGAATGGCTCGGTTGCTGGACTGACATCAAGTCCCTGGATGGCTTTCCTTCACTCAACCGATGACCGATTCATTTGCGGAGGAAGTCTGATCACAAATCGTAAGTAAATAGATATATTTTCTGATAGCTCTTTCTGTATTTTGTATTTTTACAGGCCTAGTACTAACTGCAGCCCATTGCTTTCTTCCAAATACCCACCTGTAAGTTATTAACAAAAAAAATATTTTAAATATATTTTATAGAAACCAAAATCCTTCTGCAGAGTAGCTCGTCTGGGAGAGTACGACAGGTATGAGCACGAAACGTGTTATGGTAGTTACTGCACCTTTCGAATAGAGGCCAAAGTGGAAAGGGGCTTCCGGCACCGACAGTACAATCCCCGCACAATGGCCAACGATATTGCCATTCTCCGGCTGATTAGGAGAATCGAGTATACAGGTTGCTCCTAATCTATCAAATATATATAATAGATAACACTCTTATCTTACTCTTCACAGACAACATCAGACCCATCTGCATTGTGTGGGACACTAGGTGGAGGAACTACATCAACTCCAGAGATCCGCTGACTGGCACTGGATGGGGCAAGACAGAAAATGATTCTGATAGTGCCAAACTTATGACCGTGGACTTGTCTCGTCAAGATCCTGAAATTTGCAATCGACTTATCTATCGAACTCTCAGCAGCACTCATTTTTGTGCCGGAAATTGGGACAGTAACCTGTGCAATGGTGACTCAGGTGGTCCAGTTGGTGCATTGGTGCCGTACCAAAACTCTCAACGTTTCGTACAAATTGGAATCGCTAGCTTCACCAATGCCAGATGCAGCAAAGCAAGTGCTTTCACGGATGTTCTAAGCTACGTTGATTGGATTCTGGCAGTCCAGAGATATCAGGGTTAGGTTTTAGCTTCTCAAGAGTGTATCCAATCTTCTGCCAAAATAAAACTACTGAGTTTCCCCACACGACTTTCTGCAATTTAAACTGAAAATTTACAAACGCAAATCGCTGGCAGCCCAAGCATTGTCATCATGCAAATGCTTGTCATGCATATTTAATGCAAATCCTCTTCCTTTTTTTTTTTAGAGACAGGAAAACGCGGAAAAACTCGAGTTGGCTGTAAACACTTTTCACGATCAGTGGGCCATATAAAAGAAGTCCGCCCTTTCGAATGTCCGGGAGTGAATGCATTACGCTAATTAATTCTTGATATATGACGGAGAAGCTGTGGCCAAAACGAGGCCACAAACCTTGCAACTGCCCGTAAAAAGGAGATGCTGGCAATAAAAAGGAGAGAAAAAATCCAGAAAAAAGGGGAGAAACGGGGGAAAAGTGAGTTAAAAAAAAAAGGAGTCACATCTACATTTGTTCCAGTTTTTTGCAAATGTTCTGCGCGACTGTTGCTCGTTGTAAATTTCCGAGGGCAATTAAAATTTAGCAGGCTTTAAAGCTGTGCTCCGCCAACAGTGACAGATGCCGCGGTAAAACTTTAATGACAAAAAAAAAAAAAGGAAAAATATGAAATAAAAAATAAGAGGCAGAGGATGGAGGAAATGGCAGGGGAAGCGCGCTGCCGAGCAGCGAAAGTGAACAGTTGCCAGTGTCTGGGCGGTGTATCCTGGCAAGGATTCTGCATCTTCAGGCTTAAGTTCTTTTTTTTTTGCAATGGCACATGTGTCCTTGTACAGAGAGAGTAAACACTTTAAGGTTTTTCCTTTAAGTTAAACATAAACTAAATTTAGTTTGCTCTCAAGACTGTAACTATTTAAGATTCCTTATTTTTTAACATTTAAACAACTTTTTTGTATATTTTATTCTTAGATTAATGGAAATATCCAACTCATGGGCTTTTTTTCACTGCACTTATTCCCATGTGGCAACGCAACTCCGACAGGAAACCATTCCCAGCCACCGCCAAAATGTGGCAACAACGCCAGAGACAACAGAGGATGAAGGAAGCTTACTTCCTATATTCCTATATGTAGACCCTCTCCTGGTAGTCCTTTTGCCTCCGCCTTCTCTCCTTACTCACACTCCTGCTACTCTCCGCTAACCAACTGCTAAACGCACTGAGAACTTTCCCACACACACACATGTATTATATACTATATGCCACATTCTGCTGAAGCGAAAGTGCGCGGAAGTAATAAAACATGAGGCAGGAGCGCGGGAGGCTGCAAGTTTTGCGACGCTTGTTGCACTCGCTATTGCAATTGTCTGGAAAGTGTTGCGACATTGGTGGAGACAGGACAGGGTGGTGCAACAATAACAGGCTGGGGATGGTGGTGCAGCATTTGTGCTTAAGTGCCGCAATATTTGTAGAGCGGCGAATATTTTCCATGTAATTTATGTCTGCGGTTAGACCAGCATATGGAAGCTAAACTATAAGCAAGTGTTTTAGAAAAAGAAAGTTAGAGAAAGGTTAGCTATCTTAAAGAGTAATCTTCTATAAGACTTCTATAACCAAAATAAATCTTAAATTGCATCCATAAGAAACTCAATTTGGCATCTTTTAGCCAGAAATTACCTAATGAGCCAACATCAGGTGCTATTCAGAATGATTTGTGTTGCCAAAAAAACACAAAAAAAAGTAGAAATAAAGCCATTGAAAGTGAAGTTAATGGCTGGCCACAAGAGTCAGGATACACCTACTGGCGATTTGAAAGAAGGAGGAGGATCTTGAACAACAGCTGCCACACAGGCACACCACCACCACTACCAGCAAGCACCTCGATTCCGATCTCGATCTAATTTAGGCGTATTAGTTGCCCCGCAACAAAGGGCGAATTCAGGCAAAGACAAAGACAATACTTAGACGCGGACCTTTTGTGCCAGGTCTTGTTGCGCTTCGAGGATCCTTGCGAGCCAGCTACGATAAGGCGCTGCTAATGGCTTCATTAGGTTGTTGCAGGTTCAACTGAAGGTTCATCTTGAGGTTCTCATCTGTTTGCCACATGCCGGGAGGCATGAGAGGCACTGCCAGATCTCTGGATCTCTATGCGGACTTTGAAGTAACCGCATTTCGAAGATCCTTCGTCTTGCGTCTGTTTAGATAGAATTCGATGATTACAATTCGTTTCGTGAAATTGCTCAAGAGCCGGCAAGTAATATTTTGGCATCACTTGAAGAACAGCACATATGGGAAAATCATAAAGGAGAAAGGAAAAGAGATTTCCTTTAAGACAAACCAACAAACAAAAAATTCCCATAAAAAAAACGTCTGATGATACAAATCAAATTGACTCAAACTCATAAAGTTCCTTTAAATGGAATGAAACATTTAATTTTAGGAAATTTTTATTACGATTCTCATTTTTACTTTTTCTCCTTGAGAGAGAGAGAAAGCTAAAGTGAAATGCCCAGGAAATTCACACCTTTTGGCCACAACAAGGCTATGGGCCTGATCTTTCCCTTTTTTATGGCCACCATATTCGACTTTTATGGGCAGTTTTCTTATGAAAAGAAATTAAAATTATATAACCACGCATATATATGTATACCAAATATATCCATTATCCAATAAAGATATGACCCTGCTAGGAAATCATTTAGAGAAAAATGCACAAATTGTGTTTCTGATTTGAGTGAAACGAATTCCTCGACAAGTGTCATTAAAAATGTTACCCAGGCACTATATAGACGGAGATATAGATATTTAGTGTCGTATTTGTATGCAAAAGCAGTGTTTGGGGTCTCGTAAAGCATCGTCTGAAGTGCACATAAAAATTGTAATCACTTTGAGTACTTACATGCATAAGCAATGTCTTTGTGTTTTCCTTTTGCTTGAAGGGTTTCCCCAACCCCAAGACAGATATTTCCCTACAGTTTTTCGGTCATGTTACTTGATTAGACAGAAGACTCGTTAAAGTTGCTCATGAACTTGAATCGTTAAATCGTATATCAGAGCAGATATGTTTGGCTATATGATTCCGTTTCATTGAGTTATGATTGCTGGGTTATAAAAATGGGGGAGTTTGAACTTGAGACGAAGTAAAGGCAAGTAATATTTTGTAAGTTAATAGGCAAAGGGCATAGGGTTTCTGAAAGGATGTAAGAAATGTGAAATATATCTGTTATTCTAAACTTCATGTTATCTAAAAGTTACCTAATAAAAACATTTTGCACCTCAATCTACACTTGCCATGCTAAGATCTTTGTTCTTCCCCAATAAAAAACCCAGCCAAGCCTTTCTCATCTTGAAATCACATTGCTAACAAATGTTTTCTCTACAAGTTCACACCAAATGTTCACACTTCAGAGGCAGAAGGCAGTGAGTTCTTAGGGAAAAGGTGTTAGAAATCAAAGAACTTGGCGCCGCCTTAAAGATTCAACAAACAAGTGACCGACCATCGGAGTGGCATGTGTTGGCCACATACATAAGTTTCGTGGCGACTCCTTTTATGGCCTTTAATTGCATTTCGATGGCCAATAAAACGTTCAGATTCAGCTAAATTAACGACAGGAAGTGCCAACAAAGCATACAAAGCCAAAGCATAATTAGCGTAGTTCTTGGCCAGATCTTCTACAGAGAGAGGGAGAGAGTCGGGATGGCCTTTGATGGCCCTTAGGCCAGGTGGAGCCAAAAAGTAAACTTCTGGTTTAAAAAAGTGGTAAAACGATTCTGAAATAAAACCAATGCTGGCTGAGATTACAGATTCAACAATTTTTGCATTGCAAATCCCAGTCGATTAATTTGTAATTTCAATCTCTGCTGCATTTTGTGTAATGCATAATGTGTAATGCGTTCGTAAAATGCAAAATTCAGTTTAGTGGAAAATTATAAAAATTATATTTCCACATTTTGCATTACACTCGGTCTATGCCTAATTGAATATTTATCAAAATGGTTAGTCTGTGTGGGGCCGCCGCCTCTGTTTATGCAAATAATCGTGTGGCAAATGAGCAGCGAATGCCCGGAATTAAATGAATAAATTGTTGATGATTTCGATTGGGGAATATGTCCGACCAAAAGGGGGACAATTCTCTATGTAAACTCTCGATGACAATTTGTGGCTTATACTCTCTCTAATATTGATTGTGGGTTTTGTGCTTATCGTCGAAGCCCTATCCATTATCTCATCCAGCTGCTGAACATGGATAAGCATGGCAATTAGCCTGTAAATGGTAATTGTTTTCTCGATAAGTTACCTCTCTCTCTCTGCTCTCCGTTCTCCAACCGCCATCTGAAATCCCCAACTCCTAGCTCTCGACTGTCTCGGGATCTACCTCATTAAAGTGCCAGTCTATAATGGTTTACCATCTCGCTTGGCCAGCGCCTCCTTAAGCGATTTTACATAAGTGTAAGTTTGTCGGGGCAGTCTTCCAATGTTCTTGTTGGCTAAGTGTCTGGGTTTGGTTACCTCCACCACTTGAAAGTAATTAAGAATCCTTTAACATATTTTCTTATCGCGTTAAATGGCCTGATGATAGAATGGCATGACAAACATGGTTGGAGCTAAGGGGGGATTAGACTTACTATTAATCCTGGATTACAGTCCTGACTTCTATGTTCTATATTTCTCTTTAACTTAAGATAGATCATTATTCATTACGATCAGTTAGTTTTTTAAGATCAAAAGGTAGTTAAGTTTGTTCCCAAACAACCGGCACCTGCCTGAATTATCGCAACCTCTTAACTGCTGTGTTTACCTTGACCAACCCACACGTTTTTCTCTCTACCAGGAATCCCTTTTACAAACAACGCCCCTTCTTGTCGTGGACGGACGTTCAAGTGCTCAATTGTGCAAACTCCTTGAATGGCCAGTAGATGGGGAAGAGACCCGCCCCTCTGCTTGGCCAGCTGCTTTGCTCCCGTGGCAGAGTTTCCGATCCTAAGCAAGAGAGTTGAGACCAAGTCTGGGGATCATTGTAAGATCCACACTGAGAGAAAGTATATATTTCTTATTAAAGCTGTTGTTTAT